CAGCTGAGCCGGGAGATAGGCTCCATGGCGCCCCCACTGGCCACAAGAGGAACCGCATCTTCCCTCCCCCACCCGATCCACCCCAGCACCACAGCGCCCCCTGGGGGCACCTTTCGTTGACAGCACCAACGAGAGACAGGACATGGGGGGTGTCTGGGGAGGCGAGGGGGGCGTATGGAGGTGGATGGACAGACAGGAGGCGTATGGAGGTGGATGGTCAGACAGGAGGCGTATGAAGGTGGATGGACAGATAGAGGAGGCGTATGGAGGTGGATGGTCAGACAGGAGGCGTATGAAGGTGGATGGACAGATAGAGGAGGCGTATGGAGGTGGATGGACAGACAGAGGAGGCGTATGGAGGTGGATGGACAGACAGGAGGCGTATGGAGGTGGATGGTCAGACAGGAGGCGTATGAAGGTGGATGGACAGATAGAGGAGGCGTATGGAGGTGGATGGACAGACAGGAGGCGTATGGAGGTGGATGGTCAGACAGGAGGCGTATGAAGGTGGATGGACAGATAGAGGAGGCGTATGGAGGTGGATGGACAGACAGGAGGCGTATGGAGGTGGATGGTCAGACAGGAGGCGTATGAAGGTGGATGGACAGATAGAGGAGGCGTATGGAGGTGGATGGACAGACAGGAGGCGTATGGAGGTGGATGGTCAGACAGGAGGCGTATGAAGGTGGATGGACAGATAGAGGAGGCGTATGGAGGTGGATGGACAGACAGGAGGCGTATGGAGGTGGATGGTCAGACAGGTGCCGCCAGTCACGGCGCAGGAAGGAAGCTCTCACAGGCGCCGGCCTGGCTCTCGGTCCCATGGATGTTTTATATTTATATATTTACACAAGAATCGGGCTCTTCCAGCAGGGGAGACACGTACAGAGTCAACGCCTGACAGACCATCCAACGCCGGAGCTGTAGGGTGCGGACGGGGACAGAGGCTCGGCTTCCCCCCACCTTTCCGGGTATCCCTTGTCTCACACCATCAGTGCCTGCCCCTAACTGGGAGGAACTGGGTGGTGCCAGGGCCGAACCAATGGTGGGGGTGTCTACATGGCTTGAGAAAATGCAAGGGGGGACTTGAAACTGTCACATAGAAAGGGTTGGCTGTGGGGAGGCATGAAGCCACCAACTAGAGGGTGCAGACTGGGTAGAAGCCCTGGGCTGAGCATGTCCTGGATGACTTGAAACTGCCAGCTGGATGGGGTGATCTGATTTGGAACTGTTGGTTGGCTAGCAAGGGGTGACTTGAAACTGCCAGCTGGTGAGGTTGGAGTGACTTGAAACCACTGGCTTGAGCAGGTGGGGTGACTGGAAGCTGCCCGCTGAAGTATTGAAGGCAGTTGGAAAATACTGCACCCAGGAGAAGTGAAATGCAGCAGCTGTGACCCAGCAAGCTAGAACATTCGGGGCAGCTTGACACCAGCAGTTGCATGGTGCAGGGTTCCCTGAAACTACCAGCTAGAATAGGATTGAGCAGCCTGACTGGATGCCTGCTAGGATGTACAGGGCACTTTGAAACTGCTGGCTAAAGCTGTGTGGGGTAACTCGAAACCATCATTTAAAAAGTGCAGGGTAACTTGAAACTGTCAGCTAGAGCATGTGGAGTGTCTCAGACCCGTCACCTACAGCGTGTGAGGCGTCGAACCTACCAGCCCGAATGCATGGAGCAGCTTGAAACCATCATCGCGGATGTGCAGGGCCACATGGAAACCACCTCCTGAGAGGCGCGCTGGCCGTAAAGTGCAGGGTATCCGGGAGCCACCAGGGTGGGCAGCTCGGAGAATCTTGAAACCGCCAATTGGAACACTTGGGGTGTTTTGAAACCATCATTTGCCATGTAGTTTTTTGAACTTTGGGCTCAGGGCTTGGAACATCCCTTCATCCCTCCACCCACTGGAACTAGTGCTGCCCCACAGGCCTGATGGGTGGGGAGGGATGTGGCATGAGGGAAGTTCAAGGGCAAAGGTCAAGCACTGACAACCTCAAGGTCAATTTGTGCCCAAGATTGAGTCCTAAGGTCAAAGGTCAAACAACAGCTGGCTTGAGGTCAAAGGTCTTCCAGAGTCAAGGTCAGGTAGTGCCCCGTCACCCCCACAGAATCTGAGGATTAAAGGTCAAAACCTTCCAACCTCTGGGTCAAAGGTCTAACTCCTATGCCCCCCCCTCCCCAATGGGCCATACTAGTGCCAGTGGCCCGGGGGGGTGGTCACTAAGCTCAGCACCATACCAAGTGGTGGTTTTCAGAGGGGTAGAGTGTTGGGCGTGGCTTTTGGAGGGGTGGGGCCACCTTGGTATCAGCTCCACCCCCTCGGATTGTACCAATGGAGCAGAACCCTTGGGGGTGTGGCCTGACTCAGCTCCACCCCTTTGCCCTCCTGGATCCCACCAATGAATGAAAGGGGCTGTGGTCTATTGCACAGGGGTGTGGCCTAATTCAGGCTCAACCCTCTGGATCCTACCAATGCAGTAGGGGATTTGGGAAGGGCCTCCACAGGGTGGCTATGGCCAAGACATATCCCACCCCGTCACCCAGCTGGACTGTACCAAAGAAATGGCACTGGGGGAGGGGGGATATGTATGGCTTAGCTCAGCCCCATCCTCTCACCTTGCTGGATTGTACCAATGCAGCGAGGGGATGGGGGCATGGGCAACCTCAGCCCCATCTCTCTGGACTATACCAACATAAAAGGGGGGGTGTCCAACTGTGGTCACACCCCTCTGGACTGTACCAATGCAGTGGGGGAGGGACACTGGGGGTGGGGTGAAGTTCAGCCCCACCCCCCTGGACTGTACCAATGCAAAGGTGCCCGGGGGGAGGCCCCTTAGGACAGGTCCCTGTCCCCCGGCGCCCCGTACATGTAGGTGTCCTTGCCGGGCTCCTGCACAAACTCCTCCTTCTTGTCCCAGTCGGCCACCCAGCCCCCATTGGCAAAGCTGGTGCTTTTGGTGGCCCCGTAGCCGCCCCCTCCCCCGTCGCCGGCCCCCCGGGCGGCCTCGTCCTCCTCGTCGGCCAGCTCATCCTCGTGGATGAAGCCGCATTTCTCCAGGCTGGTCTCCTCCGGCTCGGCCCAGGGCTGCTTCTCGCCCGAGGCGAAGATCCCGTAGAACAGGACGCCCCCGTAGTGCACCAGCGAGGCGATGAGGAAGACGTACTGCCACTCCTCCCGGGTCTGGGTGGAGCCAGGGCAGGGAACGGGGCAGTGGGGGGCAAAGGAAAAAGATGAATTAATATTTTATTTCCCTTCCTTTTTAACCTTTGGACCTGGATCTGGGGGGGCGAGATCAGCAACCTCCAGACACCAGGCTCCGGAGTGTCCCCCCTCCATGCACACAATTTGGTACTGCCACTCCTCCCGGGTCTGGGTGGAGCCAGGGCAGGGAACGGGGCAGTGGGGGGCAAAGGAAAAAGATGAATTAATATTTTATTTCCCTTCCTTTTTAACCTTTGGACCTGGATCTGGGGGGGCGAGATCAGCAACCTCCAGACACCAGGCTCCGGAGTGTCCCCCCTCCATGCACACAATTTGCACATACACCCCTCAGCACTGCCAGTGCCGCTCACTCCCACCTCACAGCCC